TCAACATACTTTTTAATAGGTACTTACCCAATAAGCAGAGATAGTTGGGTTCAGTTAACCTGGATAGTTTTGTGACCTGATTCAAGATGTTGTAAAGCTCAGTTGGTTCACATAAAACCAAATCAGCCATCCTACTGGAAAGAATCAATAATATACAAGCTTAATATATTTCTTTTAGATGGATGCCCACAAAGTAAGATACAGAATTAAGCTCTTTCTTAACATACTTTAAAACAAAAATGAAAGTAATCACATAAGCAATCAGGAAGGCTTCAAAAATTTGTAATGAAATGTGTGCAGAGGAGAATATTGAATATGAAATCCCTGAGCCATAAACCATGCAAATATAGGGTAGGCTGTAAAATAGTCATCAGTCTATTTGTTCATGTAGCAAGTAATTACTGAGCACCTACTATATGCCAGGCCCTGGAAACACCTGTGGTAAACAAGATCTACCTTCATGGAGGTTACAGTCTGGCATGGAAGGTAGACATTGAGGGGAAAAAATTGCAAACAGAAAGAGCATGATTAAAGAGTTAGGATCCACTGTCGTAGCAGTAGCTAACTGGAGGCTCTCACCCAGTTGGAGGAGCTAGACAAAGGGTGTCTGAGGATGAGACTGCTAACCTGAGACCAGAGGCTGAGCAAGAGGCAGAGGGAGAGAAGGTGAGGCAGAAGAACTTCTCCCAGAAGCAGGAGCACACACAGGACCTGAAAGACTTCAGAGGAGCCAGGTGTGGTTCTGCTGAGTGCTTGCCACCAGGTAGGCTGGAGAGGGATTAGTGCAGACACCAGGCAAGCCAACAGTTACTGTCAAGTGGAGAACTGCTGACATTTACTGATGGCTGCTCTTGGGCACTGCTTCCTGAGCACAGCTGTTTCTGGAAGGGTCCAGGCTTATGCAGCAGCTTCCTGCAGTAGAGCTACAGGGGGGGAACCATCAGGGGGCAGGTTGGGGAGAAATTGAGTCCAGGAGTTTTGTTGCTCAAAAGAATTAGACTCCACTTCAGAATTACCAGAACAATTCTCCTGGGAAAAGTCAACAGCTCAACTTAAATCTCAGATCCATCTCACCTCTTCAAAGACTTAACACTTCTCAGCACCTCCTCCAACATCAATTTCAGCCTGCACTTGGATCCTTCCAATCAGCAAGGAAACATCCTCTTGTAGCTATCTGTTCTCCTACAAGCATAACTTCTCAGAAGGCTGGTGTTTAGTCACTGCCTCCACTTCCTCACCTCCAATAATGTGGATTCTGGAGTCAAACTCTTTTAGGTCTGAGTCCTGGCTCTGCCACCTACTATGGAGAGTATTAGCCTCTCTATCTCTGTTTCCACCTCTGTAAAATGGGGGTAATGATAGCCTTGCCACCTCTGTCAAATGAAGATTACAGAGCCTGTCTGTCATGAGTGGATTAATAAAGTTGCACTTGTAAGGCATTCTTAGAGGGGAGGAAGTGCTCAAGAAGTGCCAGCTATTGGCTTAATCTTCTCTTCTGGAGCTTCAAACCCCACCAAACCACAAAAACTTCTCTTATCAAGGTCATTATCAATGTCCATGTTGCCTAAGCCATTGGTCACTTTCCCCTCTGCTCAAATGATTCAGTCTCTTAGAAGCATGAAACAAAGTAAAGCACTCCTCCCCAAAATGCTCCTCTCCCAGGATACTACCTTCTCCGAGCTTCCCTCTTCCCTCTCAGACTGTTCCTCTCCCGCCTTTGCTGAAGACCCCAGTTCTTCCTGTGAGAGTGCTCCAAGGGCTTAGGTGCCATTTTTTCCTATTTCTACTCTTACTCTAGGGCAGGTTTTCTGGACTTCAGCACCATTGACATTTGGGCCCAGGTCACTCTGTTGTAGGGAGCTGGCCTAAGCATCGCAGGATGTTTAGCAGCAATCCTTGTATGCAAGTTGCAACTCTCAGTCAGCTGTAACAACAAAAAATGTCTCCAGATACTGCTAAGTGTCTCCTGGAAGAAGGAGACAAAATCACTCCTGGTTGAGAACCATAATGCTAAGACTTACAGACTCAGTGACTCATCCAGTTCCTTGAATACCACTCACATCAATGACTCCCCAATTTTTTTTGAAATATAATTCTTTTATTACCAGAATGTAGAAAACACTAATCCTTTCACAATTCTGCAATATTGCCTCAGACTTTCACAAAGTTTTTAAGTTCATCTTTCAGATTTCCATAAATCTTTAATTTGCTATTATTCATAATAGAACAAAATGTTTAGCTTAAAAAAAATGTTTAGCTTTGATGATTCAGATCTAAGAAAAAGAAATGACAAAGTTTGGACCTGAGATAAATGTAAAGAAATCATAGGTACACTCAAACCACAATATTCTATCAGAATAGCCTGAGAATCTCATCAGACAGACCCCCAAATAAGTAATTATACCTCTAATTTTAAAATACTAAACATTCTGAATACATACTGATTAACTCATACAAGAAGTTCAAATATGTGCATTTTCCAGGATTTGTTTTAAAATTCAGGCTA